TTAGGGCTCCACTATTAAAAATAATCAAAATCCCTTTTTGTTTTAGAGAAGTTAACATGATAATAACCCAATTCTATCTATCTTTAAAAAGTCACTATTATGCTAACTTCTCTAAGGCAAAAAAGGGTTTTGATTATTTTAATAGTCAAGTCCTACAACCTTAATAATACTTTCTATATATTTATTTTTTGTTTATTCTTCATGGTTTTATTTTTTTTAAAAAGTGCTTTAAACTGTATAAATAATGTAAATTAAATTTATTTAAATCAACATTATTTATTAAGTTATCAGGCTCATAGGCAGAAGTTTGTCTGATTGGTTAACAAATTCAATTTAATTTTGCATTATTTACACAGTTATATAGTTTAGAATACTTTTTAAACAAAACGAAAACTAATCATAATGAAATAAAATGGCTATATAAAATGTTTCAATAATACAGTAGGACTCCGTAATAAGATCAATTCTCGCCCTTTTAAAAAGTTAGTATAATAATAACTTCTCAAAACCCGATAAAATCAACTTATTACTAAGCTAATTTTTTAAACAGACGAGAATTAGATCTTATTACGGAGTCCTACTATATTATTGAAATCTTTTATATAGCCATTTTATTTCATTATGTTTAGTTTTCGTTTTGTTTAAAAAGTACACTAAACTGTATAATTGTATAAATAATGAAAATTAAATTGAATTTGTTAGCCAATCAAACGATCTTCTGTCTATGAATATCAGGCTACATCATTTAAGATCGCCCGACTATGTTCGAAAATGACGTATCTCGACATATTTTTTTTGCCATGACTATCTATTTAATATAAGAAATGTTAAAATTTCACGTGAACAAGGTAAAAATGATTTTGGCCAATCAGAGGTATTGCCGATCAACCAATTACATCATACGACCCGGTTTAACTTAAATAATAATCCAATTCGGGTCTTAAAATTACAACTGGTTCCGACCTTCAATAGAATCCAAAGTTACGTTTTTGATATTCTTACTATAGATGCATTAAGAACGTAATTTTTGTATCACTTGGCGTAGAAATTGTGCGTCCTTTGCTATGTTCCGGACAATCATTATTATAAAAAATTGGTAGAATTTTCTTATTTAATAAATCGAGAACTGGAGTATATGGCAAGAACGGGTTTGATAGATCAAATTTTGATCAATTAGTAGCCCAAAATTGTAAGCAATGATTACTCAAAGCACGACAATTCACCGGAAAACGATGACATTAAGACAACAATGCTACAAAAAATGATTAATATGACAATATAATGAAAAAGAATACACATAAATAACTACCGTACTTGAAGTTTACATCTGCCTGAAATTAGTATCTGGCTAAAGTTGTACCGAAATTAGGCTCTAAAATTGGATCTTGCATTCGTTATTTAGTAATTTTAGGCAGTTTCAGCTTTTGGCACTTGAAATTGCGATTTTAAGAGATAATAACTTCAAGCACAACAATTATACATAAAAAATTAATTATAAAAAATTTACTATTTTTACATAATATTATATCAAAAGTAAGGATATTATCAACAAAATTAATTATTTGTTATATGAGATCATGAAAAATAATACGTACAAAAAAATATATGCAAGAAAATATATGTAAGAAAATACAAGAAAGAAATATAAGCAAGAAATATATCCAGAAAATACATGCAAATTGTTTGCAAAAAAAAATTTATTGTTATTTCAAGTTATTCATTGTTTCGAAGAAAATTTAGTTTTGTATTGATCCGTGCTCTTAATTAATCTCGTTTTCTCTTTCTTGCTTTCATCTCTTCTTCAATTTTTTTTGTTCGGCGACGAAGTAATCTTATGAATTCTTTCAATAAAGCCTTTTGATCTTCGAGCTCTTTTTGAGAAGCTTTCTTTATGTTGAAGTTTCTGTTATTCATAGTTGACATTTTTGTAGATTTCTTTTTTTAAGATTGGAAAACATTATATATATATATATATAATTTTTTTTATAACAATATGTATGTAATATCGACTTGCGTACAAAACTATATACGTATTTAAGAGTTAATATAGAAATACGTTATTTGATTAAGAAAGTTTATAGTAAAATGTATTAGTATCATAATCAAATTTGAATATGAAGTGTCAATCAAAATGTAGCATAGTGAGATTAAAAAAATATAGTTACGCAAGATTAATTATAATATGATATTTGTAACGACTTACTCAGCAAAATTAAATCAATATAGATGATTTATTAATGACACCTCATGTTATAATTTTAGCCTTATTATACTACGTATAATAATTAAATGAATTATATAATAATATTGAATTATATTATATTGTACAAATCACCCAGTACTTACGTACGTGCCTACCTAATCGAAAATTGGAAAGCGATCAATATAATAAAATTTGGTAATACAACAGAGAAAGCCACGATAGAAACCCGCTAAGTGGATGTAAATCATTATCTAAAATAGTAACTAACCTATCACCAACCCTAATTATGTCCATTCATAACAAAATTATTATTTAGGGACTATAACCTGTCAGGATTCTGTTTTGAGGATTTTGAATTTCAGAATATGATCTGTCAGGATTATGTTTAAGAGATTTCGAATTTCAGGATAATGACCCGTCATGATTCTGTTTGTATGAAATATGTCGACAGATCAATATGCAAATAATACACGGTGATGAATTAATAGTAGAGTACGAATTCTAGTCAAAACCAAATGATGGCCATGAAGTATTTCTAGTACAAAACCAATTACTACATTAATTGAACTTGAAAAAAGCAAATAAAGAAAATTAAATAATTTTATTTTGCTTACAGTTATATTTTTTGAATTTATATAAATTTCTTATTGTATATGTTTTTCGAAATTGTATATTTATTATTTTATGCTTCTCGAAATTTATTAATATTGTTTCTCAAAATTTGTATTATCATCATAATATTTGCTTGTATCCTAATATGAATATCTGGTAATTCCGAAATTTGTATAACCTGTCTTAGAGTTTCTATTTGCACTAATTAAACATGACGAAAATGAAGTTTCAGATTTAATGTAAATACTAAATTTCAAATTTTATGTGAAAGATATCGGATTCATATTCATAAGAGCAAAAAATTAAAAAGATGAAATAAAATCAGTAGAATCCATTTTTAAAATGTAAAGAAAAACATATAAGCATTTTAAATTAAGATAACACAGATAGAATTCAAGTACAATATCTCTTCGCTCTAATAATTTCCCTGATTAATAAATAAACTAAATAGTGTAGAGCCTTACAATGTAATCCAGAGCCTTAACCTAGAACTATAATTATTCATACTAAATATTCACGCCTTGATCGTAGATTACTTTAGATTGTTTTTAGTGGTTTGTGTGACCCGGAACCAGTCCCCGAGTTTCACTGCATACTATATTTGCTTTTTCGGCGAGTTTCCTTTGAGTTTGTATCACTTATATGTATGTATAATAACGATAAGTATTTCCGTGGGTTACCACAATTGCAGATTTTCGCGCGTTCATCATTTTATAATGATAATTTACATAAATAAATTATAACATGATTTTATAATGATAATTTACATAAATAAATTATAACATGATTTTATAATAATTTACAGGTAAATACATAAATGTAAATTTGTGCAAATAATACCAAATTAAGAAAGTGATTCGGGAAAATCATTATCCCTTACATCTGGAAATTTCATGATAATCTATCAAATTATATAGGATTGTAGTCTAAATCGTAGTAAATATGTAGTTAAATTGACGGTGTAGGGGATAAAATTTCACTCCGTCATTTTTAACTAGTTCTATACAACATATTCCGGTGCTTTTTTTCCCACACATAATAGAATTGAAATTTGAAGATTACAATTGTATACTCAAATAAATTTAACGCTTCCGATTGCATCTTCACAAATAAATGCATGAAATTTGGCAATATTTAAGAATAGAATGGGATCAGTTCGGACAGACAAATTTTGATTACGCACGAAGAATATAAATTTTTTTCAGATTAATTTATGTAATATATAATTAAATAACTTGTTACCTACTATTTCGCTACACTAATCTTTATATGAATATCTTGTCTTCTTTGTATTACATTCAGAGAAAACTTTTAAGCGAAATGTACTTACAATGTTGCTTGGATTATATGAAATTTGCGAAGGATTTGTTTATGCACAGGGCTCAAATATTAGTTACATTTAAATGTGCGTTAGCAGTTAAAACTGTAGTTTGAGACGTTAAACTTTAAGACGTTAAGCTTAATTTATTTCGAACCTATTAATTTACTCAAATTGTACATGCCGCAGCTTTTTTTGCTTGTCTTATTAATGCAATATTGGGATTCTGCTTAATACATGATTAACTCATTACAAAGGTTTAAAATTATCAACAAACTAGAATAAACTTACCATGTCGTACACTACTAGATCCGCTATCTCCCTCATTGTTAATACACCCAAGTTCTTGGCCTTACCTATATTGTTTAATGGCTTTGTTTGTGACTGTATTATTCACATTTCTTATATTAACTTTTAAATTAGAAGTTTCTTATTTGTCTAAAAGATCATAAATTTTTCGTAAATAATTTCATTGGTCGCTATATCTAAAAAAATTTATAATAATTATTAATAACTTTGTCAAGAGAAAAATAAATTACATAATACGAAAATTTATTTATATTTAATTATCTGCTCACAGTGGTGTCTGAGATTAAAGAACTCATTCGCGTGCAATATATAACCAATTCATAAAAGAATAATCATCAATAGTTGACACAATTATATATAATAAATATTTATTAAATTTGTAAGTATTTCCGCGCAATTTTTTTTATTTTTAAAAAAAATAATCAATTTTTTAATGAATTTCCATCCTTTTTACATTCCTTAAAAATGATTTCAATTTTCTTACATTCTTTAATCATATTGATTTAATATAAATATTAATATTGCTATTGGACGTAATTTAGTGAAAGATCTAATTCTATGGATTCTGAAAGTACACAAAGCACACAAAACGAATTTTTATACGTCGATGGTAGAAGATTTCATAACGTGGAGAATGTTAAATATCATTTACCAAACGATGAAAATGAAACAGACAGGTTAAATTCACAACATTCCATGTTAAGATATCTCTGGCAAAGTAACTTTTCGTCTCCTGTCGATGATATTTTGTCAAAACCAGGTGCCAGGGTCCTTGATATCGGGTAAGCAATTATATTTATGATAATTATTCTCGATATGAACCATACAGGAACCTGAATGTCAATTTATTGATATATTGTAATAGATCCTTTTGAAAGTGATTCTAAATTATTAAATTTTTGTTAAAAATGTTAGTATTGCATTAAAACCTTACATACATTCTATTTTAGGTGTGGTGCATGTTCATGGTCTTTTGATATTGCAAATACGTATGTTTAAGGCATAGTTGAAAATAATAATTCATTTTGATTTTTGGTTTTTAACCTTAATGGAATTATTAAGTTTTATAATGTTTTCTTAGGTATCCATTAGCTAAGGTTATTGGATTAGATATATCTCCATATCAATCAACTACGATAAAACCTAAAAATTTTGAATTTATTAAAGCAGATGTTCATGAGAGATTACCATTTGATGATAATACTTTTGATTTTGTGTTCCAAAGATTTTTAGTATTTGGTCTTGCCGTAGAGAAATGTCAAGACATAGTAAATGAGTTGGTCAGAGTTTTAAAACCAGGTGGATTCTTAGAGGTATTTTTATTTGAAATTTGGTATACATAAATTATGATTGTTAATATTTTAAATAATTTATATTTTTAATCATTTTTTTTTTAAAGTTATCTGAACCTTCTAATGCAATTGACGCGGGACCAATTACTAAACGTTTATGGGATTGTGGTGTGTATCTTAATGTTATAATAACTTTATTCCTTCACTTATATAATGTTTATTCAATTATCATTAAGAATACGAAATATTGAAAGAACAAGGCAGTGATTTTGATTTATGCCAAAAGTTAGATGGATATTGTCGAAATCAAGGTTTTATCACCTTTCTCTAATTTTATTTTATAATTTTCAATATGATTTTGTAAATAAAATTTATCATAAATGATAATAATTCGTTGATAATTACATATTTCCATATTAGGTCAATTGGAAAATATTAAAAAAGAGTCTAAACAATGCTATTATGGTGCAGTTTATAATAATGCTGAACTTAGTAAAGCGGTATTGTATTATAAATAATGAATTGTTTTAAAAAAAATTAAGAGTATTAAAATACTTTATTAAGTTAACAGATTCTCAACAATCTAATTGCTTCTTATGCTTCTCTTAAACCTAATTTAACAAAAAAATTACAACTTTCTGATGAAGAATATGATAAATTGACCAAGGCTTCCGAAAATGAAGTAGTGGAGTTTAACACTTATTTTGAAATAGTTCGTGTTTATGCAAGTAAAGTTATTTATAAATAATAATGAATCGAAATCCAACATAGTGATTAATATGAATAATTTTGAAGACAAGGCTACATATGCACATTATTTTTACCAGAAATATTCTGTAAATTTGCTATTATATGTAGTGCCTTCTTTTTTTATAATTGGATTTATTTTCAGAAATCCTTTTTGTTTTTAAATTTGTACTTGTACTTTTAACAGAGCTTCGCATTCAATTATTGGCTTTATTTTATATTACAGAAGTATTTTTTCAAAATATTTTCAACCTAATTTAAACCTCTAATTTAATTTATATGGTCTGAAAGTTTAATCAATAAACCATGGAGTTTGGATTTTTGCATTTTAGGTTTTAGACTTTGTTCTTATATCATTACTATTTCAGGATATTATTGTATTATTTATTTTGAAATATTATTTAGTATATTTATTATATATTCATACTAGTAAACAAATAAAGGTCTAAAAAACTTAATAACTTATTTTTATTTCATTTTTGAATTATAAATATTATATTATTTATTTTAAAGATTTAGAAATTTTTATATAATTTTCTTTTAGTTTTTTTGCACATACTGTATTATGTTACTTGTATAAAAAAAATAAAAAATTTAAATCTAACTCTAATAAATAAATAAATTAATTGGTTTTTTTAATTTAGCTGATTTTAATTATGCATTTAGTCATAATATTTTTAATATTCATCTAATAATAAAGATTATATCATTTTTTTATAAATATTTATTATTATAAATCTATACCTCAAAAAACTCTTTCTGTAAATTCTTTTACACAAAAATAATAAAAATTTAACAGTAATAAATTGCTAATAACTAGTTATTTTATTAAGATAACTAACTTTGTACCTTAATAATCTTGTTCAGCTTATAATTTTACATATATTCTAGAAGTTATAGGTTTTTAACTTTCAAACTTGCAGTTTAATATTACTAAAATAAACTTTGGTTTTTGCAACCAAATATTTAATTATTCCTTATTAACTACTTTTTTAATCTATAATACTGTTCTAATAAAAATTGTAAAGCACTTATTTTTAATTAAAACAAGTTCAAAAAAAAGCTTGTAGCTTCAAAATTGACAGAATTATAACAAAAAACAACTTTAACTCCTTTACTGTTCTTTACAAAATTATTTTGTTCTTATTCTCAAAATTTCTTTTTACATATTTTTTGTATAATCTTAAATCATTTTTAAAATTGTTTTATTTAATACTACATTATGTAAATTAAATTTAACCAAAATAGATTCTTCTTTATTACAAATTAATTTGTATTAATTTAATAAAAATAAATTCTGTATTCTATTATACAATAGTCACTGTAATATGTAACTAATTATAACTTTATGTTATACTAGGCACACTAGTTATACAAATTACACTAGTCACACCTATGTTACCTATATTACCTAGATTATATAAGATTATACAAATTGCAACAAGCCATAGTAATACTCTTACAAAGCAAATCCTATTTTGTAACAAAGTTTATAATTATTATTTTATTTTAAAGTTTTATCTCTTAAAATCTTATTAAACAAAAAAAAACTAGTTTTCTAAATAATCTTATTCAAAATGTTAATCTTAGTAAGCTTCAAATCTGATTCTATTAATTTGAACTACTTTTATAAAAAATTTTCAAAAAGTTTTGATATTGAAATTTATAAAGATATATTACAAATAACATGTCCAATATTTACAAATAAATAAACTAATAATTATATTAGTACAGAACTTAAAGCAACATTAAAATCTGTGAATATATTTAAGCACCTATTATTTAAGTTACAGCCATTTTTCTATATAAAAAGTACTATACAAATTTTTATTTAAACAAAAATCTTAGCTATAAATAATATCAAATTACTAATAATATTATAAAAACAAAAGATAAAAAACCATTCATAACAAATATTATCAACTTTACAAATCTTATTTTATCATCATCAACTTTACAAATCTTATTTTATCATCTTCAATTTCCTTATTTTTATTATCTTTATATCAATATTGTAAAGGTTTTGTTATTTGAAGTACTTTGTATATAATTTTGTCAATAAAAATACTTAAAATTTTATTAAAGAAATC